AAAATTACCAAACTTTGCCTTTCACTCTTCCTTCTGTTTTGTGTATTATACCGTGTCCGGACAATTATTTGCGTAGGTGTCAGGTAAATTATTTTTATCGTCGACATCTACTAATCCAAACTTTTCATATCCAATTCCTCAACAGCTTGCCTGAGTTCCATAATAGTACTTTAAAATACTACGGCAATTGGCAGCTCTTGAATATGTTTGGTGAAGATAATTGGTTGGTAAAGGCGTTCACGCGTCTACTTACGTTCAGTGTCTAAGTGAGCTTTGCAAAAAGTCAGACACTGATGTATCTGGTGTGAGGTCTGAAGAGGCAAAGTAGAGTTTGCATGAGCATTTTTTTTTTACATACAAAATATTGACGATTTGGAGTCACTGACCGATTACTATAGTTCGCGTAGAATTATTCCAGCAGCTTTAAACTTAGCTTCAGACAGAGAAAAAATTGAGGCATTGATATTAATTTGTTACCTTTATCAGATTACACGTCCTTGCACCCGCCCGGTCATCTTCTCTTAATTCTATTCTCATTGTATTTTAAATGTTACATAAATTGTTCGAACATGTGACAAAAGGTCTTATTCCTGTTAGACCTTTTTAATAGACAAATGCCTTATTTCCGTATGCTTATTACTTACCCTCGAGATCTTCATTTTATCTCATAAGATAGAACTAATGACCCCTGTTCTATTGAAGCTGGATACCTTAGACCAATAACATATTTTTTTCATTCACCCCAACACTGCCGAACGCAAACGCAATTTTGTACGCTTTCTTCCCTAAATAAAAATTATTTTCGATACATTTCTTCGCTGTAACCCTTTAGGCCTATTTGGCTCTACCACACCACACTGTACCACTCATCCGTTATCCCATCTTCTTTTTTCCATCCAACTCTTCTTATTGCATTCTAATCGGATGCTTACTATTTGCAAGACCTGCTTAGAGTATTCAACAGTCCTTTCAAATGATTTTCACTACATATTTGAAAAATTGGGATAAAATAGAAGCAAAAAATTCCCACAGGAACCAGTTAAAACAGAAGAAAAATGTCCCACTAAGACTATTTCTGCTATTCTCTCCCTCCGGCTGCTACCTACTGATTTGTTGCAATTGATACCTTGAAGACAATGTGCCATCGCTGACCCCCAAGCACTTCTACGTGACCAACATGCAACCTGGTTCGGAAACAAAACAGGTCTTTTTAAATGTTCTCATTTACTTCCGGACGACTACTCAGACCTGCTGGTTTTTCCTTTGCTCTGTTTATTATATCTCTCATTATAGTTCGTGTCAACAATTGTGAACCGTCTTCACTAAATCCTATGTTTAGTAGTTACCATGTAATCCTCTGCTGTCATTTTTTTATACCACCCATTTTTCTCGTCTGTACTAAACACTGTCCTCGTAAGTGTCGCTATTAAACTATACAATTTGCAGAGCTAAAAATGTCACTGGTCGAACAAATGACGCCGTGTCCACGTAACACAGCCTGATAAAAACACTACCCAAAGGCAAAATGCCAGCGCCTTAACCTGAAGCAAATTTAACTTTTTTGTAAACTGCATGCAGTGTTGATCGGACTTTTCATCACCTTACCAGCGCTACATCGACCCTACCGGCAGCCACACTACAGGTCAAGAGCCCCACCTCCAACTTCGCCGGAACAGAGTCGCCCTTGACTTCAGCCTGTCGTTTTAGACACTGGAAGAGGCTACAGCTGGAACTCGCACTGAAAAGTTATATGGAAAATCCCATCTTCAAATGACCTAAGGCCTGCCGCAACCAAGCATCCTTGGAGACGGAAAGAACCGCAGCCAACAGCCAAAGCCTCGCAACTGTTATCTGCCACTTCCAGCACGCCAATTACGAAGCAGTAATACTGCAGTTCACAACCTCCAAAAGAAACTGGTACGAGCGTTAGTACTTCTCTCACACATCCAACACAGAACCGAACGCCAGTTTAAACACCAGGTAAGTCAGCGCTCGGCTCTATCGGTGGTGTTTCTCTCACATACCGGGCGTGACCCATTAAAGAACGAGGATAATTACGCGGTAACCTGTATGAAGCTGGGATGAAATAGCCTTGAAGAATCAAGTTCTAGACAGCCCTTAGCCGCAACGGAATAATCATCCCTTACCAGGAAGATACATCTCTTCAAAACCGCCCTCTTATCAGCTGCCCCAAACCCCAAAACGGCCGCGATGACCCACCACCATTCCTCTCAGGCAACAGCCCTAGTCTTATCCCACCTGAATACATCAACTCAAGCAATGTGCGTTCCAATCTCCCCGAGGTAATCTCTCCCCCTAAACCCGAAAACTTCACGCCACCCCGAGCTGAACAGCGCCACAAGAAACCTGGTACGGAAGCGCACAGCCGCCATCTGCAAATATGCCAAACCCAGCAACACTTCGCCGTGCTTCTCCAACCTCTCCACTTCAAATCCGTAAAAACCTAACTTGCACTGACGCCCCGTCATCCACCCAAACTTCCATAACTGCTACAAGACAATAAGACCAAACCGCCTACAGCAGTGCCTGAAACGGAAAAACCCAACACCCACTTTAGAAAAGTCAAAAACCCGCAAAACCGTCACGCAAGCTTCCACCCCAAAAGTGCAAACCCAAAAAATCGAAATCCGCTTGTGAACACAACCGCGCCTCCACGCAGCAGCCAAAAGGGTTCCAAGCCTCACCACCCAAACACTGCACGGACTGAGCACAACACCGAAGTACATCCCTCAAAAGAACAGAACATTGTAACGTACCAGATGTCTATGTTATGCGTAACAGGAACAAAAAAAAATATTTTTAACCCTTCCAGGCAACTTAAACAATTCAGATCAACCGCAACGACAACAAAGAAGCATAGATACAGGGGATACGATTATGAAAAAAATGCAGCAGGACGTAAATTTGAGACCGGAAGAGCAGCAGACACAGCAAAAAAAAAAAAGCCACAGCACATATTCCTCAACACCCCACCCGTCCTCCTAAAAATCCATGCAGTACTCATCAAAAATAAATTATGTATACCCAACTATCAACTGGAAAGGCTGAAGCAGGCTGCAACATGCTTCATATAACAAAAGTGTCAAAAAAAAACAGGGCAAAACATAAAAACGTCATATTTACTCCTCTTCCTGTTCAACATATTCACTTTCGCCATCATGATCAAGTTCACCCTCATCATCTGCAGTAGCGTCCTGGTATTGCTGATATTCCGACACCAAATCGTTCATATTACTTTCAGCTTCTGTGAATTCCATTTCATCCATACCCTCACCAGTGTACCAGTGAAGGAAAGCTTTACGACGGAACATTGCTATAAAAACCCCAAATCAACAACTTCCATGCTCCTGATCAACTTCACAGTAAGAACAAAAGTTACCTGTAAACTGCTCTGAAATTCGCTTGAAGAGCTCCTGAATAGCTGTTGTGTTGCCAACAAACGTCGCACTCATTTTCAAACCACGAGGCGGAATGTCGCAAACTGCAGTCTTAACATTGTTAGGGATCCATTCGACGAAGTATGATGAGTTCTTGTTTTGAACTTGCATCATTTGCTCGTCCACCTCCTGAATATCAAGACAAGTTTAGACGAAAGGGTAATGAAAAAAACAGCGAAGAGCGGAAAATAAAAAATGAGTGAGAGCCAGTAAGATGGATATGAAAAAAAGATAACCCTCATTGCCATACGTCCACGGAACATTGCTGCAACGGTCAGATATCGTCCGTGTCTTGGGTCACATGCAGCCATCATATTCTTAGCATCAAACATCTGAAAACCTCATCTAAGGAGGACATACGTCACACAGAAAGAAAAGTGGCAGCCGTCAACCCTGACTGAAAAAAAAAACGAAACCTGCTGAGTGAGTTCTGCAACATTCAGAGCTCTATAATTCGCTGCTCCTCTAGCTGAGAGTGGTGCAAATCCTGGCATGAAGAAATGAAGACGTGGGAACGGAACCATGTTAACAGCGAGCTTGCGCAAGTCCGCGTTCAGTTGACCCGGGAACCGGAGGCAAGTAGTTACTCCGGACATAGTAACAGAAACTGAAATAAATGACAACCACTATAATGGCACCATGAATATCTTCTAAATGAAATAAGAGCCAACCCGTCACCACCATCAGCAATCAACAAAAATATTTTGTAATGCTCGTGTTAGCCTTGACCCTAACAAAAAAAATGGAAAGAAAAACCAATAAAAATGCGACTGCATCGCACCGCGGTGCTTTTGAAACTCAAATCAATACGTGCGCGCAACAAGCTGAGTAACTTATATATATATATATATATAT